GATGAATAGTATTCTGTGTAATGTGTAGGAAGTATTGAAAAGTGTTGCATTATTGGGATACCTTTGTGTGATGTGTCAAATGGTAGACTGCAATAAATGGGATATTACATATGATAATTTTCTTGTCTGGTCTGTGGATGCACTGGTAATTCTAGGAGATAAAAGGAACCTGTGGCAGGGTAGTAAGATCCAGAACCTTTTATAAATGCTAGATTGTGTAGTCGTACACTACAGGGTCACCTTTATCCATGACACGTCTCCATCTTGGAGTTTCAGACTTTTTAGTTCAGTTTCATCTTTTTAAACATATAATTATATTCATACATATATTACATTCATATATATATTCATTGCCTTGCTGCTACATCAATAACCAATGATCTCTTCACTCACAATTGCAATAGAGAACACACAAATGCACAAAAACAGAATCTATCAAATATAAACGAATATTTGAATATTTTTGAAACTCCACCTTGACAATCAGTTGTACTATTGTTATGTATAATGAACTGGAGCTTTAATTTATTGAATATGTATCTTATTTTTAAGAGCAATTCTTGTAATTTGAATAAATTAGTAAAGTTACCCTGATGCCACTGAAAAATAATCAGCTAATGAAGTAATATGCTATGGCCGTAAAATAGATCCTTGTTTGTCTGGTGCTTCTTCCTATTCAATTCAAAAGCTGCCATTACCTACTGGGGATGTGTCCTTCCAGTGCCCTTTCACTAAGCTTGAAGCCTGCTACATCATTTAGTCTGCCTGACATCTTGTCTTAAGTTGCAGATTTTATTTCTCTCTATGAGTTCTTATAATTGTTAATAACATGTAATAGGAGTCACATTTATTGATCTGTAATAACTGGGCTCAGATTTCTCACCTACTTTATGGATTGATACTACATAAGCAATTCTGTGGCCTCTGGGTACTACCCTTGTCTTTAACCACTTCTGGCTTCTGAATAATTCTCTCATTTTCTTTCAAATGTTAAGATACCAGTTTGGCTCTTTGGAATCCTTTTCCATAACTCTTCTAAACACTTCTTGTATTTTCCCTTCACTTTACAGACCACAGATGTTACAATGCATGGTGGGCTGACTGGTTGAAATCCTAGTACGGGACTTCAGCATTCTCCAGGGGTTTCTGGAATGCTGAAGAAGCAGCAAGACAGAATAGACAGGCTGCTGAGGTTATGAGTTGGCAGACTGTTGAATCTGAGGAGAAAGACCCTAGATTAGAAGGATGGAGGCTGCCCGAAGAATCAGGCAGCAGGGCAGCTAGTCAAAGGCTGCCTGGGAGATCAGACAGCAGGACCAACTGGATAGTTGCCTGAAGAGGAGAAATCTCCACTGGATTGGTGCTGTCAAGTTTTTCTCTTTAAGCAGTAGGAATGCAAACACAAAGCTGATTGCCAGACAGGTATCAGTAGCTCAATGACAGGGCACCAGTCTAGCAGAGTTGAGCCTTTAACAGCCAATCTTTTAATCTAGAGGTCAATTAGAAGATTGGCTGCGTGACTGGAAGGCAGCCGTAGGGAAAACAAGAGCCTGATCTCGTTTTCATGGAGATGGCTGGAGTGCGAGTGCTTGTGAGAATGTCATGGTCTCCTGTGGCAGCAGCAGACTGTGAGCTACTCTCAGTCCAGTTGTAAGAGTATATGCTTGTTTGTTGCTTTTAGATAGTTCATTTTATTTTTTCATATGGTATTTTAACTTTTTAGATATAACAACTTAATGGAAATGATTTCCTTTTCAGTATACAAAGGTGAAGATGCTGAATAATAAGTATTTGTTACTAACAGACTACTTTTCTGGATAACAGTAGGAGGAAGTGTGCAGCTATTCTATAAACCATGACAACTACTGTACTACTGCTACCAATTTCACCTTGTGTGTGATGATGTTTTAATAGTGTTTGTTAAGTCTGTCAAGGTTTGTTATCCAAATAAATTAATGTGTATCATTTTTATATTTTATTCAACACTGTATTAAATTGGTTTGGTGCATGTTGAATGGTATTTTAAATATGAAATGGCATTTTTAATTATGTATTTTATTAAAATATTTTTTTTCAAATGTTATCTGCCATTCAGTAGACAATGAATAATTTCTGACCATCTGTTAAGGTGACAGTTCTGAAAAAGCTTATGTTCTCTAAATCATATTTTCACTTCCTCTTTAAATCTGGTATCAAAGTTACTGTGCCTTTTCCCCTAGATGATCTAGAACTGTTTTCCTTTCTTTGAAGAATTGGAGAATAAAGAAAGCTTTTAAAGCAGAAAACTTCTTTTTTGACACCAATCTTGAATGTTTTTAACTATATCAAATAACCTTCTTTACATTCTTTTTTTCCACCTGTTGTATCTAAAGTCTGCTGTCTTCTTCAGGTATTTTCTGTAAGAATTGGTTTATAGAACATCCACAACAAAATAATTGTCTTTCCTGTTCATCATTTTAGGGTTAGGATTCTTCATAACAAGATTAATAATGCATGAAACATACAGCATCTTTAAATAACAAATAATGTGAATTTCTGCATTTTACCTTAATTGCATTTTACCTCATAGAAAAAAAAAATCAAGGAAGTCTATTTCCATCCATCCATCCATCCATCCATCCATTTCCTAACTGCTTCCCCAATGCAGGGTCCCAAGGGAGCCAGAGCCTCTATTGGCAAGCAATGTCAGGCAGGGTACACCCTGAACAGGACACCAGTCCATTTTGAGAGCAGACAAAAACAGACTTTTGTGGACTGTGGGAGGAAAGAACTCGGCGGAAACCCCAAATAAACATATGAACTCCATGCAGACAGTACCCCAAAACTGAACCCAAGGATTCACTGCTGTGAGGCAGCAACGCTAAGCACTGTGCTACCATGCTGGCCTCAATTCACAATCAAGACATAGAAACATACAGTACATAGGTTGAGGCATAAGTGTTCCAGTCTAAGCAATAATTCAACATAGTTCAATAATAAATATGTAACTATAGAAAGATCAAAGGTAATAAACGAACAAAATGCGAAAAAAAAATACTGAGCATTGAAATTCTAATCCAGCTCAATCTGTTAGGGATTCGGTAAGAGAAACCGAAACCAGTGAATGAACCCACTTGCAGGAGCTGATAAAGCCTAGCCGCGATCCAAAGAAAGCCGTAGTCGAAGAAACGAGCCGAGAGTCCAGGGGAAGCCAGAGATCCAAACAGGGAACGAGTTACCGAAGCCAAACCGTGATCCGAAACCGTAGACAACAGAGCAATCCGAGAG